TGTGAATTGCTTTTTTCATAGCCACAGTCTTAAAGTAAAGAACAACAGCTCAGGGAAGAATTGGCAGGGGCCTCAGTGTGTGCTTGTGCTTGCCACATGCTGAGCGAACCTGCACGCACCTCCCGGGGGCTCAGGGAGTCACTGCAGGTGCAGGAGTCAGTTCTGGAAATCCAGAGATGCTCCCAACATACTGCAGTCACACCGCCAGGCTTTATCTCGGGGCTGAACATCACTTCCGCTACCCCAATGTCGAGCTTTCCCTTTGGAAAATGTTTCCATCATTTTATTTGTCTGCACTAGCGTCGTGGTTTAACCCCAGCCAGCAAACTGAGCACCACGCAGCCGCTCACTCACTTCCCCCCCAATACCCAGTGGGATGGGGGAGAAAATCGGGAAAAGAAGTAAAACTCGTGGGTTGAGATAAGAATGGTTTAACAGAACAGAAAAGAAGAAACTAATAATGATAAAGATAACACTAATAAAAAGACAACAGTAATAAGAAAAGGATTGGAATATACAAATGATGCGCAGTGCAATTGCTCACCACCCGCCGATTGACACCCAGCCAGTCCCCGAATGGTGATCCCCCCACCCCGCTCCCCCCAGTTTATATACTGGGCATGACGTCCCATGGTATGGAATACCCCTTTGGCCACTTTGGGTCAGCTGCCCTGGCTGTGTCCCCTCCCAACTTCTTGTGCCCCTCCAGCTTTCTCACTGGCTGGGGATGAGAAGCTGAAAAATCCTTGACTTTACACTAAACATTACTCAGCAACAACTGAAAACATCAGTGTTATCAACATTACTGAACTCAAAACATAGCGCTGTACCAGCTACTAGGAAGACAATTAACCCTATCCCAGCTGAAACCAGGACAGCTAGCGGACAAATTTGTCACACAGTGTGGGGTCTGAGGAACTGGAGATAATGACAGTAACTGGGAGAGGTAACAGGCAAAAACTCGGACTGGACATTGCCAGGGAGTTCAATAATTGTGGGGAGTTTTTGTTGTTGTAAAATGGCGAAGGGACGGGAGGTGGGGTTTTGCTGTATAAGTATATTGTCCCCTTTGCTGGTGTTGTGATGATGTGTCTTTAATTTTGGTGTGGATTTTTTTTTGGCTGATGTAAATGAAGTCTATGAAGAGTGCATGATGAATGTATATTTGAATGACAATTAGCTGAGTAAGACTTATGACTAACCTACAAAAGGGGATGTTGACTATTGAATGTCACCAGTTTGAAGGGACTTTACATGGGCATGATATTATTTCTTGGAAAAACATATAACACTATATACTCTGAGCTTACGTAAAGTAGCATGACAAAGGAAACAGGAAGCTGGCATTGAAATCTATGAATTTATACCAATATCAGAGTGGTGAGAGGAGAGTCAGGGTGATAATACTTTCCATTTACAAGCTCTATCCCAGCTATAACCTCCCTCAGCACATGAAAGGGTTGGAGACGGAAACTTTGTATGGTTGCCCTTTACTTTGCTCTGCTCTTGACTTGAGTTGTGAAGGTTTTAAGGGACTACTGAGCATACATGTCTGTGTTGAGAGGAATACTGTACTACAGATGCTGCTTTGTAAAGGAGTGGCTGCTCAGGGTCTGCACATAGTGATCAAATGGCTGACAGCTGCTCCCGTTTTTCTTTTTTATTCAGGGGTCCAGCGTGAGAGCTGGACTGTGAATACTGAGCTATTATTGTTGGCTCACAAATGTTGAGCTGATGGTATTGATTTTTTGAAAAGATGTTTGGAGCAGTAATAAAAATAAAAAATAAAGTCAAGAATGATGAGGCTTTACAAATAGCCAATAAAAGAATCCACAAAAAACTTAGTAAACTCTTGGGCTATTCAACCTTGACAATGTCCTTTTCAATCTGAATCCAGTCTTCTCCCCGTGCTTTGAGCAGCCAGCTGCATTTGTTTCCACCCTCACAATGCTCCACTGGCTCAATTGAGTCACTCTGAGCGACAGCTTGCACTTCTAAGCTTTCACACTCTACACAGTCACCCTGGGAGAGCAGAGAAAGAAATGCATAGTGGAGGACTTGGAGTAAATGATAAAAGTCCTGTTCATCAGAAGGAGCTTCTTCTGAAGGCAATGGGAGCTCACAGCATGGAGTGGCTGTGAAGCTAGACCCCTTATCCGACTTCAGATGGACCTCCGAAGCACACATGCCATCCTTTCGTAGACTTTGGGATTTACAGTGTTTGATTTACCCCATGAGTAGGTGAAAAAAATGCACTCATTTTTATTATAAACTTTATTAGCTTACTGGAGTTTAAAAAATACAAATACAAAGCAGTTGTTGAGCACAGTGGTTTAAAAAAGCAGTTTGATTTTTACTATGAGATGATATTCCACAACTGCAGCCAAAACTGACATATAATCATGCAATACCTCTCAAAATAAAAAATTAATTATCCAGAATTAAATGCTCTGTATGTAAGCTTTCCATAATGGAAGTCCCTGAAGAAAACTGTCCCTCAGTGTCTGAATATTTCATTATTTCTGACACAAGGGACTTAAGCCACCACTTTAGTTTAAAACCAGAGTAATTAGTCTAATTTTATTTCATTACACCAACATAAAATGAGAGTAATGCAGCTATAAATTAGGCCAAATATTTCTAGAACTACTCACTAAGATAAAAAATTAAAATGGGTAATATAAAGTTCTTTATGGACAGAAGCTAACAGCACTGAGTACATAGGATAATGTCTTATCCTACCAGCAGTTCCATTAAACTCACGGGATAACCGGGGAGTAAGTTATAGCATAAAATACAGCACACAGTTACCACTATCTGGCTGTGCATTTGCACAGTGCCCTCTATGATGGAGTTCCTATCCGGGCATTACAAAAATACACGTAAGAGACAAAATAAATTCATGAGCTTTGAAAAGTAGCTGAAATATCGCAATAACTGAAATGAATTAAGTAAAAAGATCTCTTCGAGCTCCAATAACCCATTCTGCTTCAACCATTACTAGCTGTCTTTGACCGTGATTTCATTTCCTCCCAGGTGAATACAAATCAGCAGCGTAAATCTATTCAAACAACCTCCGAAGAAAGGACTTTTTCGCTGGCGTTGTTAACTTCATGGCTGTCTTTTTACGCAATGGTTTCATGGGTTGCTTTTTCAGGTGCACCACCTTTTTGGGAGTTTGTAGCCCTTTATTAAGGTCAACGTGCTCGTTGCAGAAGTACTTGACATTTGCTTCTGAGAGACGTAGGAGCATGCTCTCTGAGAGATCCATACATTGTGCGTGGACCCAGTGGCCAGCCCCACTGGAGCACAGGATCATTGCAGGCTTGTTGAGCTCTGTTGAATAGAAAGGGACCCAGGTGTTAATGTCAATATTGCAACTGGCAGAGCAGGTGATCCAGTAGCCTGTTTCTGATTCATCTTCTTCATCATCTTCATTGTAAGTGTCAGTATCATCAACATCAAAACTATTGGCTTCAGCACTAAAACAAAACTCTTCCGAATCTTCAAATGGAGTGGAGTCTCCAGGGTCTTCGGTTGAGGTCTGACTGGAAATTTGTGCCGTCAGTTCTTCCTCCTGGTCCTCTTCTGCTCCTTTGCATCTCAAAATGTAGAAGTAGTTTGCATCTGAGATTAACTGTTTGTTGGCTCCTGGAATGCCCAGCAATACAGACCCTTTACCCATATCACAGCCAAACCACATCCTGCAGTGTTTGATATCTGGTGTCCAGTCCGGGCTCGCCCTTTCGACAATCTCTATCTTACTATCTTCCAGAACTATGGTGTTACACACCAACCGTTTCTGGTTGTCAGACTGGTAGCCCCCGACAAGGACAAATTCGGAATCACCCGTTTGAGTCACTATAGCACTTGACACAGATATCCCCCCTGGCAAAATGGTGCAGGTCACGGCTGGGCTGCCCAGTGGGAGATCAACTTTTAGCTTGTACAAGCTGGGGGACCTCGTGTTATTTTGAAGCGAATGGCCACCCAAAATGTAGATTGTATCGTTTCTGGCCACTGAAACGTGGAAAGCGAGTCCGTCTTGGAGCTCTGGAAGTACGTATGATGTACAGCATCCAAACTCAAAATCAACGAGAAACACAGATGGCAAACAGTCAACTACACTGTTCCATTTTTCAGTGGTTCTTTGTGCAAGAGGAGTATATGCTCTCCCTCCAAATATAACGCTCATGCTTTTTCCCCGGCTATGAACTACATTAATTGTATGCCCATATCTAGCTTCAGGGACATCTCCACCCAGGTCTTTCTCAACGCATTGCAACATGGTTTTCTTGCTATTTTTGCTGACCAGACTCATAACATAAATCTTATCAGAAAGGTCATTGTTAGGTGTTTTCCCACCATGGATGATATACTGGTACTCGTCAGACTCCGCATTGCCTCTGAGCGTGCAAAGAGCAGGGTAGCGGAGGGGGGGGAGGTAACAGGAGTCTTTAGAGAAGAAGGCAGGTTTCATTTTGAGCTCGTTCTGCTTTATATCGAGGAGGAAAACACCAGTGGGACAGGATCTCTTTGGCCATCCTTTCTGCCCCAAAAAGAAAACATGCCCGTCAAAATTCAGGAGAGAGAAGCCTGGCTGAAGCAAGGACGAATTACTGACGGCCGATGCCACCTGCAGCGACATTCTGTTTGGTGACTGGGCCATACCGCGGTCAATATCTGAGGGAAAAAACCCACAAAAACACAAAAGGAACACATGAAACGTGCTTTAGACCCTGCGAGAGTCGTTCAACAGCAGTGGAAGAAATCGTATTAAAGCTGCGCTTCGCGCTTGGAGAGCCAAGCAGAGACCCTTCCCCGCACCTCGGGACACGGATCAAGCGAGCGCTGCGCACCACTTGGGCGGGATTCGGCACGGCCCGCGGCCTGTCGAGCCCCTCACACCCCGACCTTCGGGCGTGCGGCAACGCTCCCATGGAAACGGCGGCCCCGCGGCCTGCTGGGGCCGGTAGTTCTCGCTTGGAGCCTGGGCCCGGCGCGGCCCGGCCGCCGCTCGCCGAAGTCCCCGGCCGTGAGGGAGCGGGACCGGAGGGGTTTAGCGGGCAGGCGGCGGGTGAGTGGGGCCGCGGGGCCGGCGGCGGGCCCCTCTCCTGCCGGTGGGATTCGGCCGCGGGACGCCCGGGAGCGGAGGGCTGAGAGAAATCGGGCCGTTTCCCGCCCGTTTCTCGCCTCGGCGGCGCCCGGCCGCCCCCAGCGGGGGGCCGGGCCTCCGC